GCATTCCTGTGGCGACCATTACCTTTTCTCCTTTGGGCCCCGAGTCACCCCTTTCACCTCTGGAGCCCTAGGAGGAAGCCACGGGAAGAGTCAGTGAGTTAACCACCACCGGGAAATCGGAGCATCCAGAGGCACAGCCACCCCGTAGTCCCTTCTCCCCACTCCCCTCGGGTTCTTGCACACACACAACTAGGCCAGGGCCCTCCTTGTTTAGCAGAGGAAGAGGCTGAGGCGTCGGGCGCCTTGCCTGGGAAGGGACGGTCTGGGGTGCACGTTCTGCATGGACCCCAGACCTCTTGCATCAGTAAAGCACGCTGAACATGGAGTTCTGGGCCCCGGCTCCTCCCATGCTGTGGGAGCTGCGTCCCAGGCTCCTGCTTGGGTTTCCTTAGGTCTGCTTTGGGCTTTTCCACAGACGGAAAGGTACGGTTCAGAAGCGTGGGCTAAGGACACACACGTGCCTCTTCCTCCGGCATGGAGCAGACGACAGCCACTCTCCCTGGGGCTCTGCCTTCATCTGCTCACCCCCCACATGAGGGGCCGCGGCCTGGCCTCCACCGGGAGGACAGCTGGCCCTACTCCGGACGGCCTCTCCCCTCTATCCCCGGAGAACCGAATGTTTGTCGAATGAATAGCACTAATGACAAGGGCAGGGGCATCTGGGGCCAGGCCACAGTCGCAGCCTGGAGGGGCCAGGCCCGCCCTCTGCCTGCACAGACTCCAGAGCCCGCAGCCCGACTGACCTTCTCCCCTCTGGGTCCGGGATAGCCCTAAAAGAAAGCAGAAGGTGTGTTTACAACAGGCCCCGCGGAAACGCTGGGTCTGCACAAGAACGGAAGGCGCCCTGGCGTGGTGAGGTGTCTCGGGGCTGCAGAGCACGCAGACCTAGACACCGTGCTTGCACAAGCCCTCACAGAGCACGGCTCTTCTCGCCCGAAGAGACCTGAGCGAATGCCTCCACCTGCCACGCTGCTCAGAGGACACACCTTCACTGTCCAGGGGGCAGCAGGCGTGGCACCCCTGAGCCCCTGTGTCCCAGAACACACAGCCCTAAGGGCAAGCAGAGGCACACACCCCGGCACAGGCCGACCCCATGAGGTCCCCGCCCAGCGCCGTCTTCACAGGCAGCAGGTGCTACACAGCCGTCGGGAAGCCCTGGGATGCTCAGGGCCGCACACTGACCTTGGAACCTGCTGGCCCTCTCGTCCCTGGCAAGCCCATCAGACCCAGGTCACCCTTTTCACCCTGTAGGAGTTAGAAGGAGACAGAAATAAAAAGACCGCTGGTGTCGGAATTGAACCAGGAAGGTCACGGGCAGATGGGGAGAAGCGGGGATGTCGGGGCTGGCGTACGGGCCTGAGGCCCCAGCGCGTCCCTGGTCCCCCAGGGTCCCCAGGCTCCACATTCACCTTTTATTCTGCCATTTATCAGGTCACCAGGAAAGTCACGACGTACTTTTCTAAGGTTTCTATGCAAAATGCGTCATGACTTTCAACCGAGGGGCCCAGCGACCTCCCAATTACGTGTGCTAAGGTGGTGTGATGGCGATGCTTGCGCTTCCAGACGGGGGGAGGGAAGGGAAGAGCGCTCAAGAGCACCGGGGCCTTGGGAAGCAAGGCGTCAGCGTCCAAGAACACCTTGGCCTGCTTTCTACACGTGGAGGGCCTTGCAGGTACCTCCACGTGCTCTGGGTCTTCAGCCCAGGGGAGTGGACATCAGCGTCTGCATGTGCCCTGTGGACGCGGGAGGCCAAGGCTCAGGAGGATCGCAGGTAGCACCCTCTGCACCAAAACCACCCCAGGGCTAACCGCTGCACACCTCGGTCTAACACCAGGAGTTATGTTGAAAGTAGTGCTTAACAGGTAAAGGCAAGTTTAACAACACATTTTGTCTGGTCTAATGAGTTAAATCTAGTGATCATTCCAACATGTGATCAATACAAAAATTATGACTGAGGTAGTTCACATTCTGCTTTTCAAAATAAATATTTTATCAAAATAAAAGCGCTTTTCCATTTAAAGAACATCTCAATTCTGGGCTAAATTTTCATACAAAATACTTGATCTGTATTTAGCTTTCATAAAATTTATAGTTGAAGGGACCAGCAGTTGGCGTAATTGCTATGTCGCGGGACTCCCCTGTAGTTGGCCGCGGTTCAGGTCCTGGACCCGGTGGCTTAAACTCATGCCAGGCGCATGCGTGCGTGCCCAAGATCCCGAGAGGAGAATGGAGGAGAAGGGATTGCGGCGTGGCCATCCCCCCTGGGGGGTGATTTCTCGCTTTCTGTCTCTCTGTCTCTGTCTTCCTGGAGAGCGCACATGCCCTATAGCGAAAACCTCTCCAAACAAAATTATAGTTGAAAAAGCAGACTCACACCCTCACGTTGCTCCAACATATGTAAACGCTTTCAAATATGTTTACGTACTTAGCCTGAACTGGGTAAAGGCATGCAGGCTGGCTGTAATTACAATGAGGCTTCCACGTTCTCAGGTGAACTCGCCCTCCGAGGGCACGGGGGCACGCCGGCAGTGCCGCCCTGCAGGGCAGCTCAAGTCTGCACTTGGACTTTGGGAGGGAAGACCCCCGGGTCATCCCCTACGCAGACCCACTCAGCACCTACAGCAGGACCCGACCCGAGCAGCAGCACTGCCCACCTGCCCTCCCGCCCACCTGCTGTCTGCAGGTAGTGTCCCGAGGCACAGCCTCTGTGCTGCCCGGGCTGTGACCAGCAGTGACAGCGTGAACAGAGTCGTGGTGTGTGTGTGTGCTAGCTCTCTATAACCAGACTGAGCAAGGGGACTTCGCCACACTGGGCGATCCCTCTCTGAATATACACTGTGGTCCTCGAGGCCTGTCCCCGCAGACACCACCCCTGTCACCTCGGCATGGCAGGGAGGAGCTTCCCGGACACGGGCACCGCTCGGCCACCTTGGGAGCCGCAGGCCAGGCTGCGAACTCACAGGACAGAGGGCACCAGGGCCCCCACGGGAGGGAGCAGCCCTCGTTTCTCTCCCCGTAGAGCACGACTGTTGCACTGGGCAGGCCTTGCAGGCCAAGCCGAGGGGACGTTGGGGTCCTCGAGCCCTCTCTGCTACCTCTGGGGGGGATTCCAGGACCTTGTGCCGGAGGCCAGGCAGCTGCCTTCTTCGCCTCTCTGTTTTAATTGCCAGAGGACACATGTGCTCTCCAGAAAAGACAGAGAGACAGAGACAGAGACAGGCGGACAGAGACAGAGAGAGAGCAACAAGGGGAAGTACCCAGCCAGGCGTGGTCCCACCACTCTCCATTCTCTCCACCCTGTCGGGATTTCAAGCACACATGTTCATGTGCCAGGCGTGTTTTCAAACCGCTGGGACCAGCATTTGAACCACTGTTGGCCATATGGGATCTGGCTCCCTTGACCAGAAGGCTATGGGGCCGTTCTTCCCCCTTCTTGTTCTGACACCATGTGAGCTCGGAGAGTCTGCCACACTTACCCGGGGTCCTTCGGGGCCCGGCCAGCCAACGGGCCCAGGCATGCCGGGAACACCTGGGGGGCCAGGTCTACCCTTCAAAGACCAAGAACAAAGGTCAGGACCCCGCTTCATGCCCCTGAGAAATAGCATTCGTTTCTGGGGCCCAGTGGGCAGCTGGGGTCTTATCTAAGCAGAGCCCCAGGACCCTCGGCCCACCCTCCAGACCTGCTGGTCTAGAAAGTGAGGTCACTTCGTCACAAGCTAAAGCGTGTTGTCACGGTGAGTCCCCACACAAGAGCTTGTTCAGGTGAGACATGGAGGGCCAGGGGAGGGTTCTAGACCTCTCATCGCACCCCACTCCGTGGCCCGCTTCCCAGGGGGGTCTCCCCGAGGAGGTACTGCTGAGCGAAGGGCCTTGCCCTGGGGAGCAGAGCAGAAGCCATCGAAACTCCCAAAGACCCTTCTGGCCGGCGCAGAGCCCTCCCGTCAGCAGGCCCTGCCGCTACAGCCTCACTCGGCAGCCTGCACTGCGGCCCCGCGGGCTTGCCCTCGGGTGAGGGAAGCAGCGGGTCACTCATGCGCCTCCTGTGGCCAGTGTCCAGCCCCCATACCTCAGGCAGGACACGCTGTCCAGCAAGTCCCCCGAAGCCCCTCAGCAGCCTGGACCCCACCTGGCATGGCAGTCCTGACCAGCTTCTCCCCACCCCTGGCCCCGCAGGCTCCCGCTCAAAAGGCTCCCTTAACGTGTTCATTTGCATCAGGCATTACGCTGTCTCTCTGTCTGTCTCTGCAACTAGGGAGCCTAAGGGAAGCCAAGGACTAGGGCAGAGCAAGCCCTGAAGGCAGCAGGGACCGAGGTCTGCTCCAGCCTCCACGCTCGCGGGCTAACTTCACCTTTGGCTGAGATGGGAAGGGCCGGCCAGAGCCAGGGACGCCAGGCACTGCCGTGAGTCTGGCTCCTGCTGCTGCCTCTCACATCCGTGCCAGGCATCAGTAAGCAGCCCTGGGCCTCGGGGTCCTCTCCAGCCCTGCCCTGCAGACAGCTGCTGTGCCTTGGCTACAGTTTAAGTCTCTGCTCTAAGGCATGTGCGCTCACTGGAGAGAGACAATGAGAGAGCGAGAGCTCACCCCCAGGAGCACAGCCACGCCGCAGTCCCTTCTCCTCCATCCCCCTCTCGGGCTTTTGGGCATGCTCGCCCATGTGACCAGTGTGGTTTTCAAGCTACTGGGTCTGGGACTCGAACCACACAGTGGGCCCTGTGGGATCCAGCTGCCTGACTTCCACGTCACTTGCTAGTCTTGTCCGTGCCCTGAATTGTTATAAACTAAGCCTACCAAGGTGTCGGAGGCTCTTGTCAACAACGAGATCACGTGAATAGAGCCTTCCGTCAGAACTGTAGTGATGGCCTCGGAGCCCTGGGCCTGCTGCCTCACAGCCCGCGCTTTCCACCCCCTTCCAGCTCCGAGGCCTGGAAACTCAGCGCCGCTGTGTGCTGGTCGGACTCACGAGAGTCGTGGGGACGTGCGCGTGGCTCGCTCAGCCTGCGTGACCTGTCCAAGCGGGGCCAGCGGGCAAATGCCCATGTCTCTGTCTGTCCTGCACTTCCCTCCCGACTACCTGAACAGGCTGCGAGAGTCTCGTGTCCCGGCCGGGGCCTTGGAGGGTGTCTCTGACGGTGCCCGGACAACATGGGCTGGGCTGGGGCGGCCTGGCCAGCCCTGGACGCCTCTGGGAGAAGTCTGAATTAGGCAGTAGTGGGCTTCAGCTCTGACCGAAGGGGCCAGCCGAAAGGGTGAGTTACTGCTGTCCTCGGGACGTGGCCCCGGCTCTGCCCACCTGGGGGTGCCTCTGAGGTGCTTGCTGGCCCCGCCCCAGGGACACACCCACAGACACGCGTGATGGCAACGGAGCAGTGCAGGTCATACCTTCCTTCCTGGTCGGCCAAGCTCCCCCTGTGGACAGAGAAGCCAGGTGAGGAGAGGTGCTTTGGGAGGGCAGCTTTAGGAGCAAGGGCTTGGCAGAGCAAATAACAGGGCCTGGCCACGTGGTCGGTCCCTAGGCCATGCACAGACCCCTGCCGTGGCGGTGGGCCAGGCCCAAACCCCAGTGTCTGTCAAAGCATGAGCAACGTACAGGCCACACACCCGCTGCCCGGCACCACCGGCCATCCCGGCCTGCCCTCTGCGCTGTGGCAGACGGGGCGTGTGCAGTGAGGTCTCACCAGGAAACCCTCGGTGGCACTCCCATAACCAGGCTGGGGCTGCCTGGGGGGGCTACACGGAGTGGCTCCTACCTTTTCTCCCTTTGGTCCTGTCTTGCCAGGAAGCCCCGGTGGACCCTAAGCAACCGGGAAACAAGCGGAGGAAGAGCACGTTACACCGCGGCAGGACTGGCGGGCCCAGGGTGGAGGGAGGGCGTGCGGGCTCCCAGAGCAGCTCTGTTCTCTACATAGGACCCCCGTCCCCAGCTCTCTCAAGCTGCTCCAGGGGACGGCGGCTGCCAGGCTCACCCATCTACCCCGCCATTGTAGTCGTCCCGATCCCTGGAAGCACGCCCCGTGCTCAGCTAGAGCTGGAGGAAATCCCACCGGCTGGCAGGATGCAGCCAGCCCTCAGCCTCCTAGCAGCCCTCCCGAGCTGCCCCGGGACCCCGAGAGAGCAGGCTGGTGTCGCACACAGCCACAGCCAATCTGTGGGAACGAGGTGCCAGAGGCTTCGCCCTTCTCTGTGAGCAGCGAACGTCCCCCTCAGACACTCCAGCCACCTGGGTAAGTGGGGCGCGAGCCCTCCCACGCCCAGCCACGGGAGCGGCCTCTCAGGGACTCAGCCCGCTGCACCCAAGCTTTCACCAAAGCTCCGCGCACCCACAGCCAGAGCTCAGCTGCCTGGAGAAATCTGTTGGGAACCGTTTTCCAAATTCCTGGGAACAGCAGAGGGGGGGGGGCGTCCATTGCACTCCCTGAGACCCCCAGACTCATGCATAAAGCAAAGCCCGTTTGAAGTACGATTTCTCCAGACCCGTGCCAATAACAGCCCCCTCCACCAGGGTTCCCAAGGAGGTCAGCACGTTATGGCCCCCGGGAAATCGGCAACTCCAGTTCCAGGCCACATCCCACACCAATCAGTAACAACGGGGTTGGGGCACAGCGTCCGTAACTCGTGAGCCTCCCAGAAGAGTGTTTGCCTTTTCTTCTTTCCCCGTAGGGTGTTTATGAGAGAGAGGGGAAGTGAGAAATCACCCCTCGACCCTGTGAACAGGGGTCGTGGGGGAGAGGCCATGCCAGTCTCTTCTTCGTTCACTCTTGGAACTTGGGGGACGCCCACACGTGTACTTGACCTCCAAACCGGGGCTAAACAGCCCTCTCTCGTTACCAGATGCCCAGGGGCGGGCATGTCCCGTTCTGAGCAGCGAGGAGGACTAGGAGGGCATGGGCACTGGCATCGAGACCCGACCCTGCCTGGCCCTGACCATAACAGCCTCCTCACACAGGCCGCATCTCCCACAGCGTACCCCTCAAATCCGGATGGCGGGGCGGCTGCACCCCACTGCACGGTGAGGAACCAAGGCCGGGAGCCCAGAGATCAGCAGGGACCCCTGCTCCGGGGTGCGGGTGCAGCTGGGGCAGAGGAGGGCGGCCGAGCAGCCTGCCGAGGAGCTCTGTCCTGTGAGCATCTGCTCTGAACAGAAGACTCCAGGAGGCCCAGGGGTGTACCAACCTGGGGGCCAGGAGGCCCGGGCGAGCCAGGCGAGCCCTGCGTGCACGGGGACGTCGAGGTCTCGAGTTCCAGGATGAGGTTCTTCATGTCCGGAGAGAGGAGCTTCCATGCAAAACAGCAGAGTCGTATGTGAGACTCGGGACAGAGAGAGCCACCACCCTGGACACACCGCTCCGGGGCCAGGTCCCCGAGACTGACCGCCCAACACCTGGTGAGAGCCCCAGGAAGGTGGCCTGTCGGAGGCAGGCTTCTGGTCTCTCACCGGCCCTTGAGACGCGGCGGCCCCTCTGGGTGCTGTTGGGAAGCCTCCCTCCCCTACCCAGGAAGGCGCTGCCACAGAGCCGGAAGGCGGGCCGCTGAGGGCCACACCGCAGTTTACGTGCCCTGGCAGCCACGTTCTCCCCGTGTCGGAGAGTGAAAGGGAACAAGTGAGGTAAGACTTAGTAAAGTATTTCAGGGGCCAGCAGGTGGCGTAGTGGTTACATCACTGGACTCCCACACAGTTGACCATGGTTCGAGTCCCAGACCTGGTGGCTTAAACTCACACAGGGCAGGTGTATATGCGTGCCCCAGATCTCGAGAGGAGATTTTGGAGAAGGGACTGTGGCGTGGCCATTGCCCTGGGGGGGTGATTTCTCACTTGCTGTCTGTCTCTCTGGCGAGTTCACATGCCCTATAGCAAAAATCTCTCATCAAATATATATATATTTAGCGCAACATATGTAAAATATTATCATTTCAACATATGTTCAATAAAAAATTACTAAGAAGACAGCTGACACCCTCTCCCACAGTGGGCCTCCAGGCCTGTGGCATTTCACATGACAGCTCACCCGAGTGGGGTGGCCACACCAAGGCCGTGGTCACACACAGCTTAGTGGCTGCTGTGCTGGGTAGCTCAGGTTGGGCCGCTGCCAAAGAGGCCCGGGCTGCTGTCTTCTCAGTCAGAGTCCCGAACCCTGCTCACTCCGTCAGGTTTTCCTCCCCCACATCTGCCCTCTCGCCCCTGGCACCGCCTCGTAGCCACAGTCTCCATTGGGCTGACTTGGAGGGTCTCGCAGATGCTGGGGGAGAAGCAACTGGGCAAATTCGCCTCGGGGCAGCGGATGGGGCCGGACAGCGAGCTCCACCTGTCTTCAGAACAGGGAGCGCCTTGCGGGGATCCTGGCCGAGGACCCTCGGCACGGACTGGGGACGGGGTAGCCAGGTCAGATGTCCTCCAGGGCCTGGCAGCCTCTGAGCATCTCAGAGGAGCCCGGGCAGCTCGCTGGGCGGCACAGCGGCCGTGGGCACCACAGCCCCAGGCTGGTACTCACCAGGCTGCGGCCCCCTCTGAAGGCCGGCGGTGGGAAGAGAGGGGGCGGCGGTGGTGTGAGCAGGCAGCACGCTCGGGGGCCGCTGCGCTTCCTCGGGTCCAGGTCAGGCAGGGCTGTCGGGGAAGACCATCGTCAGCGTGGACCCCGGCCTCCGTCACGCCGGGCGGGGCCCCCGCTGCCAGCTCCGATTTCCAAACTGAATTTCCCATTTCACGTTTATATGTCTCTTTCACGAGAAAGAGATCTCTCGTCTCAGGTGGTGCCTGCTGGCCAGCCCTTGGGTCTGCAGGATCTGGGCTGCAGTGCCCGGTGGCTCTGGGTGTGCTGCGGCGGCCTCTGGGGTCGAGCACCGAGGTCAAACACCACGGCACCGCCGAGGCCAACCCACATCACCCACCCGCAGGCCTGGGCTGACCTCGCTGGTGGATCACAACGGTGGAGGACCAGCGAGTGGTTCAGGCTCTGTGAGGGCACAGGATCCGTCTCTCATCCCTCAGACGCTGACCGGCCACTCTGGATGTGGTGTGGATGCCGCGTCCTGACAGACGGTCAGGGGCCCGAACCTGGGAGAGGGTGTCTGCCGATGGCTGTGAGCCAGTACAGGAGGTGAGGCAGGGAGGCCGCCCAGGCTGGAGGCCGAGTGACTGCACAGCCGAGTCCTGGGATAGACACAGTCTGGGCCCACACAGGGTGTCACCACTCACAGGTCAGCGTTCACACGGGGCGAACCCCAAGTGTGAGGAGCTGCGGGAGGGCCGTGACCTTACAGCGTCATTTCACACGGAGGTCCACCTATGTCCATGCTCACACGTGTGCAAGGATGAAGTACGACTTACAGAAAGTACGCAGGCGGGCCAGCAGGTGGCGCGGAGGCCAGTGGTGCGGCTCAAGCCCTGGAGCCACCGGCTTGAAAATGAGGGTGGGAACGTGTGTGTGCCCAGATCCCAAGAGGAGGCTAGAGGAGAGAATGCACTATGGCCGTCCTCCTAGGGGAGATTTCTCACTTTCTCTCTCGCTCTTTTTCTGACTCTCTCTGGTGAGTCCACACACCCTATAGCAAAACATCTAAAAAAAATTAAAAATACCAAAAATGACACAGGCCATAAGTGATAGCCCAATACATTCCCACAAAGTGAACATGACCTAAAGCCAGCACCCAGACAAGAAACAGAACTCTGGCGCCAGAAGCCTTCTCAGACGCTGCACTCCCTGTCCCACCACCAGAATCCGGACCCCAGTTTCCAACCTCACGTACGTGGAATCGGGCGACAGGAGCCGTGCTCGGTTGCCCTGGCTGACAAGAGCGCCACCCAGGCTGCTGACGCCATCGCCACCCGTCGCCCTGCTGCACGTGGAGGACACCCACGGACTGAGGCCACATGCGCCCCCAGCAGGGCTACAGGGAGGAGACCGGAATTGACAAAGAGCTCCGGTATGGGCGCGGGAGAGGCCCTCGGGCTGCTCCGAGAGTCGCCTCACGTGTTCTAGAAAGCGGGGCAGAGGCACACCGCGGCGAGCAGCTGCCAGCAGAAAGCCAGTGTGTTCCCACGGAACCCCACGCGCTGGCACCCTGGTACCTGTGCTCGCCCAGCTCCCAGTCTGGGCTCCTGGGGCCCTCCTCCCACTCCTTGCGGACCTCCGGCCTCAGAGCACGCACACTCACCCACTGCATGCCTCTCAGCCCTGACCCTGGTTTTCAGTTTTCTTTTCAAAGAATGATTTTATTTTATTTATCATTATCATTATCATTTTTTTTTGAGAGGTTTTCGCTATTGGGCGCATGCGTTCGCCAGACAGAGAGACATAGAGACAGAAAGCGAGAAATCACCCCCCAGGGGGGATGGCCACGCCGCAATCCCTTCTCCTCCATTCTCCTCTCGGGATCTTGGGCACGCGCGCACACGCGCCTGGCGTGAGTTTTAAGCCACCGGGTCCAGGACACGAACCGTGGTCGACTATGTGGGAGTCCAGTGACATAGCCATTACGCTAACTGCTGGTTCCCTCATTATCAATTTTTAGTTTGACCAGATTGAGAGAGAGAGAGAGAGAGCAAGAGAGGAAAAGTGAGAAAGCAGGCTACCAGGTCTGGGGACTCCAACTACGGTCGGCCATGTAGGAGTCCAGCACTTTAACCACCATGCCGTGCCACCTGCCAGCCCCCTGGTTTTCAGTTGTACCTCCCAGGGTCACCCTGTGTCCCAGCATCTGCCTTAGCTCTGAGGCAAGTACCGAGGGTGCCCAGAAGGCCAGGCTGTGAGTGCTGCTTGGACTGTCACCCAGGACCCAGGGCCCAGGACCATCAGCCACGCTCATGCCCAGCAGTGCCTGCTGGCCTGTGCCGGGGTCCTCGGCCCTCTCCTAAGAGAAATATTTTTCTTCTTCTTTTTTTTTTTTTAATTTTACAGAAGGGACATGTGCTCGCCTAAGAGAGACAGAGAGAGAAAGGGAGAGGGAGGAATGTGTAAAAGAGAATGTGGTTTCCCATGGGGCACGGTCCACCCAGCCCCGTCCTTGTCCCTGTCTGCCCCGCTGGGGTCGGGCATGCTCACAGGGCAGTGTGCCTCCACGTGGTCAGGGCTGGGATCAGGGTTGGAACCGCAGTCGGCCGTGTGAGTGCCAGCCCCCTCCGGCCCTCGGCTAGGGGGCTGTCCCGGTTATTTTCCAGAGACACCTTGTTATCCTGAAGCGAAATTCATACATAATACAATACGCCAAGCACTGAAAACCACAGGGTACTCTGGGTCTGGCGGAAGGAGGAACAATGGGGAGGCAGCTCGGGATCTGAAGGTGTGCGTCTTGGCTGCAGGGGCCAGGAACAACGTCAGGTACCCAGCGCTGTGGGCCACGGATGCTCGCGTGCCCTGGGAGACCACTGGGCACAGCAGCTACTGGACGGCCATCGGCCTCGCAGACAGCACGAGGGCTGTGCCCACCCGCCATGTGCCGTGAGTCCCTGAAAGGATGAAGGACTGCGGGTAGTCCCGTCACCGCGCAGTGGCTGCAGCCTTGGAAGACTCCGTGTGTAACAGCGCAGACACAAAAACTGCAGAAAGACTCAGTGTGTAACAGCGCAGACACAAAAACTGCAGAAAGACTCAGTGTGTAACAGCGCAGACACAAAAACTGCAGAAAGACTCAGTGTGTAACAGCGCAGACACAAAAACTGCAGAAAGACTCAGTGTGTAACAGCGCAGACACAAAAACTGCAGAAAGACTCAGTGTGTAACAGCGCAGACACAAAAACTGCAGAAAGACTCAGTGTGTAACAGCGCAGACACAAAAACTGCAGAAAGACTCAGTGTGTAACAGCGCAGACACAAAAACTGCAGAAAGACTCAGTGTGTAACAGCGCAGACACAAAAACTGCAGAAAGACTCAGTGTGTAACAGCGCAGACACAAAAACTGCAGAAGCATTTGGTTCTAGGGGCCGGCAGGTGGTGTGGTGGTTAAAGGCGCTGGTCCCACATGGCTGACCACAGTTCAAGTCCTGGATCTGGCAGCTTGCTTTCTCCCTTTCCCTTCCTCTCTCTCTGATCAAATTAAAAAATAATAACAACAAATGGAATTAAATAAAGAAATCATTCTTTAAAAAGAATTGGTTCTAGATGACCTGAGTATGTGCAGGTATGAGTGAGTGTTCCATGAGACATTTCAAAGTCACGTAGGACACGGGACGATCCTTGGCATACGGGTCTGTCTCCCTACTGGAACGCTCGCCCCTGGCCCAGCTCCACAGCAGTGCTGTCACCTGCCCCAGTCACGGAGGCATAGCCCTGGTCACCAAGCATACCTGGGGGTGGACACTGTGGAGACAGCCCCAGCGACAGCCGTGGGCCTACCCCATGCTCGTTGACAGGCTTGGTCACAGGCAGTCCCAGAGTCCCCCGGCACCCACACCCTCTCCAGGCCACGCATGTTTATGAGGGACTGAAGAAATGCAGAGAAGCAGGAGCAACAGGTGACTCCCAGCTCGGACAGAGGACACGTGGGGGAGATGGCATTGATGCTAGTTCTGCGAGCTCAGGGAGGATTCAGACAGAGGCCTTCCAGACCCTGGGAACGCCTGCGGCAGTTGTGGGTACCTGCCCTTGGGGGCCTGCAGGGGCGGTGGTGACGGGAGGGAGGGCTTCTGCGGGAGGGAGGGTGCGGGAGGGAAGCACACTGTCCGGGCCTGCAGCTGTAAGCAGCAGCCATGCGTCACGGCTCTGGGGGGAGAACGATCATAAGCTAGCGCATTTCAGAAAGCCCCCAGCCTGCAGCACAGGCTGCACAGCACGGTCTGCAGTGCCAGAGCCCTCGGAGACCACGGTTCAGGCCCCAGTCGGCCTGAGCCCGGCCAGGCATGCACACACCCCGATCCTGCTCCACCAGAAGGCTAGGTCGGGGCTCGCGGTGTGGGGCCCTGCAGAGGGTGTCTGTTTGTTCTCTCTCTCAACAAAAGAAGCTTTAAACATTTTCCAGGAAGAGCTGGGACCAAGACATGGGGCTGTGACACTGTCCTGGTGTCCCGACCTGCCTTCGACTCTCTCAGACCCCTCTGCGTCTGTCCAGCCCATCTTTTCACTGGTCGTCACCCCGGCCCCCACGGATGACTGACAGCCTTGCCTGGTCTTGTTTAAGCCCAGCTTCTGTCTTGTCCCAAGTGTCCCTTTGTGGCATTTAGGGCACCCATGACAGGAAATTCGACTCCCAGCCAGGTCACAGGCCCAGCATCTCTGGAGAACCGAATGTTTGTCGAATGAATAGCACTAATGACAAACACTTACTGCATGCATGTACTTCAGGAGTCCACACATAAGATTCACCCAATCCTGGGGCCGGCAGGTGGCGCGGTGGTTAAAGGCTCCAGGCTCCCACATGGCTGACCGAGGTTCGCGTCCCAGACCTGGCAGCTTGCTTTCTCACTTTCCCTCTCTCTCACTCTATCCCTCTCTGGTCAAATTAAAACAAATAAAGTTAAATAAAATAATCCTTCAGAAAGAGCTTCCCCTAGCCCTGGGGCCAGATGGTGGCGCAGTGGTAAGACACCATGCTCTGGAGGCCACCCGCGTGGGCAGGGTCCAGATTTACAAAGACGCGTCTTGTGTATACCGGGCTCACGTGTGTGCATG